AATCCAGCCCTTCAGGATGGCAGGAACACTGAACCAGTACATGGGGAACTGAAGGATGGGTTAGCATTAGCACAGCAGACATTAAGCCAGCCACCAATAAGCAAAACCACCATTTAATACCTGAAAAATGATGAGGTCTGCCTCTGTGAGTTTAGACTGCTCCCTGGTGATGTCATCTGACAGTTTGCCCTGCTCCCATGCAAGTTTAGCCTCCTCCAAGTAACTGAAGTTCTCAGCATTCTTCACTTCTCCTGTGAAAGGAGGAGATTGTAGAGCTGATAAAGCCGCCTCCAGGCCACGCACATTTAAATCTGCCCGTTTCATACCCTTGATGTCCTGCGCTGTAGCAGTGGCTTTGAAGCTCATGGCATACAGGTCAGAGACTTCCACTGCGCAGCCATGAGCAGACAGAACCTCCACAGCAGCGTCTTTGGCTGCAGCGTTGAATGATCCAGAACTCTGGTGAGCATAAACGATCAGCACCTTCTTTGCTGCTACAATAAAGATGGAAACAAAAAAATCTTAGTCCAAAAACAGCAGTGATGCTATTCCTTTAAGTTAAACAGATTGAACACAGATATTCAAGCTGAGGGCCTTACCCATTGTAGAGCTGGTTTCCAACTTGTCTGCCTGTGAGCAGAAAGAGCAGCCAGCTGCTGTTATGTACCTCCGCCACCTGGAGCTCTCTCAGATGATGCCAATTAGCAATCAGGCTCCTCAATCAGTCAGGAAGGAGGAGAATTATTTTCTCTTGTTAAAAATCCTTTCTACATGTTGTCCCACTGAATCCATTTATCAATACATAAAGTATCATGTCTCAAACATTATTTTTCCTCCTTATTAGGAATAAAGCAAGTGCTATACACAATCATAAAATACAAATAATCAATTTTTAAAAAATAAATAAAGTGGTGGATAAAAGTAATAATAAAACAAAAAGGAAAAATGAAATAAATAAAAAAAACAGTAAGACAAAAGTCTATATACTAGATTGTGGTAAAAGCCAACAAAAAGAAATGGGTCTTTAGAAAAGTTTTCAAATCAGAAAGTCTGGAGGCCTGTCTAAAGGCCAAGGAAAGGTCGTTCCACAGCTTTGAGCCTAAAATAGAAGAAACAGTTTCCACTGAGCTAACTTTTTGTCTTTAGCACCATTAGTAACAACTGGTCAGCTGATCTAAGGGACAAGATGGGCCCTGTCCCAATATATGGGCTGCGTCCTTAGAAGGCCAGATTTGAAGGATGATTACATCATAGCTCAGGATCAAGGTCTGGTAGGATTCCAAGAGTCCTCGTTATGCGGCCTTAAAATGCGTCCTTCTTTTTGCCCGATTTTAAGGACGGGTCTGATGTATTCCCCATAGCCCCGGATATCCCAGGATTCATTAGGAGACCAGGCAAACCGGCTCCTTCGTGATCAGAGGAAAGGTTACTTGGCGCCGAACAGTGGTGAAAATTGGAAGTTCAGTTTAATATAATCCAGTCAGTGAATAGTTCCGTCTGAAATGAATGAAAATAGTTGTTTTAATGGTTATTGAGTCAGATATGTGGCGGTAATGTTTGATCTATCTAAAGGTTTTTATCTGTTACTGTGTAAATGGGTTTGGCTGGAATTTAAGGTTCTAATATATCTATATCTAATATATTTGCTTAACTCAGAATTTTTGTTGTTGAATAATAGAGATTTTGCAGATATATTTTTATACATACATTGTTTAGATTTACTTATATCTTTCTACCCCTTGAATAGAGTAAAATAGAAAATCCCTTTATTGTCCCACAATGGGCAAATTTACAGCAGCAGAAAGATTATTGAAAATGGTCACACAAATGAGGACCTTAGAAAAATGTATAAGAATAACATAATAGGGAAGAGTTAAAATATAAACAATAAAATCTTGTAAAGTGTTTTAACAATAT